GATGGCTACGATACACCAAACAAAGTAATGGAGATGATAGATACAGTAAAATATCATTTCAACCACACTATGTCCACCATATCCATTGATGATGGTATTGATGAGCTCCATACTCCAGAGCTCATCAGGATGGCTACGATACACCAAACAAAGTAATGGAGATGATAGATACGGTAAAATATCATTTCAACCACACCATGTCCACCATATCCATTGATGATGGTATTGATGAGCTCCATACACCAGAGCTCATCAGGATGGCTACGATACACCAAACAAAGTAATGGAGATGATAGATACAGTGTGGTTGAAATACCAGTGTACAGCCTTCTTCTCAGGGAATCTCTAAGGAACCAAATAATAAATGTTGTGTTTAAAAATAAAGTTGTCTAATAACAAATATAATTGACATAGAATTCAATCCTATTTTCACACCTTACCTGATCTTATGTCATACTCCGGAGGTTGTTTTAAAGCATCCGTTATTAACTGCATTGTTGGAACAGGAACATCAATTTCTAAGGCTAAGCAGTTAATCCCTAGATTAAACAAAATAATAGGATAGATATGAAATATCAGATTAAATGATCTCAGCATTTTTAATACTTAAAATGTTTTGTAAGGTCCAAGTGGATGATCTGAAATTGTAATAAGCAAAGTATAAGAATGAGTAAAGTGTGTTTTTATTAACCTACACAAAGTAATATTTTGTATTAAACAGGTTCTATAAAGTAAAATACGAGATAAACACATTCATCTGTTATAAAAAAAATTGTTCACTAAGTCCACACCAGGTACAATCAACAGTTCAATGAACAGTTGATTGTACCTGGTGTTGGACTTAGTGAACAGTTGATTGTACCTGGTGTTGGGCTTAGTGAACAGTTGATTGTACCTGGTGTTGGACTTAGAAAAAGTTGATTGTACATGGTGTTGGGCTTAGTGAACAGTTGATTGAACATGGTGTTGGACTTCGTGAACAGTTGATTGAACATGGTGTTGGACTTAGTAAACAGTTGATTGTACATTGTGTTGGACTTAGTGAACAGTTGATTGTACCCGGCGTTGGACTTAGTGAACAGTTGATTGAACATGGTGTTGGACTTAGTGAAAAGTTGATTGTACATGGTGTTGGGCTTAGTGAACAGTTGATTGTACCTGGTGTTGGGCTTAGTGAACAGTTGATTGAACATGGTGTTGGGCTTAGTGATCGGTTGATTGTACATGGTGTTGGACTTAGTGAACAGTTGATTGAACACGGCGTTGGACTTAGTGAACAGTTGATTGTACCCGGTATTGGACTTAGTAAACACTAAGTCCAACACCATGTTCAATCAACTGTTCACTAAGCCCAACACCATGTACAATCAACTTTTTACTAAGTCCAACACTTACTATAATCAACTGTTTGTTTACCTTTATTTTTAAGAGATAGCTCCACTTTGTTAACTAGACTATTTTGCCCAATGTCCTCTTTTCTTGCAGAAATTGATTCTAAAAACCTAAAAAAAATTACAGTTTTACATTAAATATCTGTATTAAACGTAAATAGTCTCAATAACAACTGATAACCCAACTGTTTCTGAATGGTCTAATGCTTGAGAAGTAACATTTACATTAAGTTTTGTACATTATGTTGAAAACTGAATTTTACCATTATATTAATACTTCTTTAGCAAATTAATACCAAAGATCGTCTGAACTGTAAAATGAAAAACAGGTTAACAAATTTGATTATCTGAAAAATAATACAAACAGTTATGGGGAATATCCTTGACCTATACAGTTAGTGAAAGCAACAGATATGAAGGATATCCTTGATCTGTAGTTAGTGAAAGAAACAGTTATGGAGAATATCCTTAATCTATACAGTTAGTGAAAGCAACAGTTATGGGGGATATCCTTCATCTATACAGTTAGTGAAAGCAACA